GCAACAAACCCGAAAGCAGAACAGAAGCACTGAACACATTTTTAGGCCAATTAACTGGGATGTCCCATGAAAACATGACCCTAAACCTCCAAACCAAGGAACTGAATCCTGTGAGGTGTTTGGTTGTACATAAGCCACCTCAGCAGCTACTATTTTTTTTTTTTTTGGGTGGCAGTAGTGTCTGTAAACATATCAATCACAAACTTTTGCCAATTTAACTTTTACTGGTGAACATCTTATCGGCAAAAATTAAAACCTTTGGCTGTACAGCCCTACCCTTCAACAAGGTGATTTTTCTATCACTATGTAATTATGCATTTTTGTATCTTTCTCTACCATTAAGAAATTTTCCAGGAAAGGTACCATGTTTAATTTATGTTTCCATCTCCAGTGCCTCAAACATGTTGAATGAATGACTGCCAATGATGATGACAGGCTTCTTCAGTTATAAACTGGAAAAAACCAAAACATCCTCACACAATGTTACAAATAAAATATGGGAAAATGCTCAGATGTATTTTACTGAGGCTGTTACTACAGTACTTGAAGTGGGTCAGACAATCCAGTTCTTCCCCAAATGATGAATTTAAAAAAAAACAACAAAGCTTCGTTTTTATAGTCTGTATGCAGTGTCTAGGTAGGTTGGTAATTAGTATATCTAAAGTAAAAATGACATTTCTGTTAATGCATCACAAGAAATTGGATAAACAGATGTTCACTAGTAATAAAAGGTATTTTAACATGACCCCCCCCACTAAACTATGAAATTTTCCAGGGAATAAACACAAGCTATATGGAATAGCTGAAACTTACTTTAGGAGCCCTGAGGAGGACTTCTAAGAAATGGGCAGTCATCTTTCAGAACAGCTTAGCTGAAGTACAAAGAAGGCCAATGGGATTGTTGTTTGAAAGAGACATGGGATTAGTAATACAGTACTAGGTACAGAGAAAACAGTGGTTTCTAACAAGAACTCCAAATTCAAGCCACAGGGCATCTGCTTCTCACATAGGCTACTCTATGCAGCATGCACCAAGTAGCAACAGGGATTTCTCACTTAACAATGGTTAATAATTCTCCCCAGAAATGCAGGGCAAGCTGTCTAGTATAAAATGTAGAAGTTGTTGTTAGGTGCTATCGAGTCATCTCTGACTCACAGTGACCCTATGCACAGCAGAAGGAAACACTGCCTGGTCCTACACCAGCTCCACGATCCCTGCTATACCTGAGCCCATCATTGTAGCCACT